AAGAAACGAATTATGAAACTGAACTGAAAGACATGAAAGCTCGAATGCAGTCCAAGTTTGGAAAAACTGCAAACAGCAGTGCGCAAATAGCCAAAAAAACACCCTTTGAAGCGATGTGCAAAGAAGTAAAATGGACAAAGCTCCCAGCACCAGCAAATTTGCAGCAGTAGCTGCTCCAATGGTGCACCGTACACGGTATCCGCTTGCTTCAAATGCAATACTTAACCACAGGTCACCCCCCCAACTTTGTGAGACACCGGAAAGAAGCTCGCGACAAATCGAGACTACGACTAGTACACCAGGCGTCAATAGACCGAAGAGAGGGCGGCTCTCGGGCTTAAGTCGTAATTATACTAGTTCAAAGAAATAAATGCGACTTTATATTACATTGTGTAAAAGCGACGGAACTAATTTTTTTGAATTCAAAAACGTGTCGATATCTTTTTTCGCATTTTATTTAATTAATGACATTTCAATGTATTTTAAGAACTTCCAAGTGGTAAAAAACGATCGGTAAATTCCCTACGATATTGCTTTACAAAAAATTTTGACATACCACACATGTGGTTTCAAATTATTGTTTCTTGATGGGTATTAAGAAAATTAATTAGTTATATGTAATTTGTATATATCTGATATATTTTTGTGTACAAATTGATCCATAATTTGGCAACGACCATTTACCACTTTAATAAAACAATTTGATTAATATATTTCAACTTTAAAATAAATGGCTTTTATTGTTTTTTTTTCATAACATTTCATACCTTTCATCGTATTATACCTGTCGCCTATAGCCGCGGCTATAGCTTGGCATTGGGAGCTGAAGAAGATTCACATGATGCTTTAACAACGTATGATTTTAGAGAAATACGTAGCGTTTCTTCGATTAATTAATTTAAACATTTACGTATTAAAAGGTCGCTCCTATGTCTTTTTTAAAAGTGAATTGCTGCGATGTTGCCGTCTATGAATATTTTTCCAAAATTCTAGTACTTGAAGCCATGCTGAATAGGATTCTCGAATACTGTGTAGTACTACTCTTCCTTTTATACCAAAAAAATTGTCAAATAAAATAGAAATTATATTAAATTGACAAAATATAAAAGAAATAAATGACAAGAAGAGTAAAATTCATAATTTATTCAGTAGAACTGTTTACATCATCGAGCACGGATTTGAATGGAAGTAAAAGTACCATACGCTTCCTATACGCCCGGTCAGAAAGTTCACTTTAATATTATTTAAGCAATCAATCTGACGTTCACTGCTCCGATGTTAAAGTCCGCTTAATGAAAAAAGAAGTGTACACCAGCCGCTCGCCTGAGACAAAAACAAAAGAAACTGAAATCAAAATCGTCGATAATCATTGTGGCGAAGTACTCAAAAGAAATAAAGCCGAATTCAATGAATATCTGCAAATACCTTCCACTATACCAACTCTAATCGGTAACTGCAACATTATTAAAGTCCACTACACCCTAAAATTCATTGCCAAAGTGCCACGAATACATAGAGATCTAATAATTGAATTTCCCTTTACAATTGTCATCTCGCCTGTATACGCCAGCACAATGGCTAATGAACCAGTTACAAGCCAACCGACTAATAATTTTTCTAGAGTTGTAGGTAAGTAAAAGAATGCTTTCGTTTAATTGACATTTTTAACCTTATACAACATCGGAATTAACAGTTCCTCCTACATATGAAGAAAATGTACGTAGCGAGCAGTTCGAGAATAACAGCTTTAAACCGAGATATCCAGTGTTTTTGAATGATACGACCAATACTTTGGTTGCCACCGCATTATCACCAAGTAATAATTTATATAGCCTTATCTCGCATCAAAATCACCCCTTACGCACTCTGCAGGTTCAACAGCACCTGCTTCCACTTTAGCCCTGCAGACGAAACATGACCCAGCAACGAAAGGACATGTGGAGCAGCCTCAATTAGAGGTTTTAGGATTTAGTTTGCCAACTGGTTATGAAACTACTTCTACGAATATTGGCTGGAAATGACATGTTATTTTTACTCTTTTTTTTATAGACTTTATATAAATCGTAACTGACGTTTTAATATAAAATATGTTAGGACGATGATTTTTCAGTAAATTATAGTTCCGTTGCTAATGTATAAACAAACCAGTGTGGGCCTAAGTCATATTTGACTGCATTTTAAAAAATTTATATCTGGGCTTGGTTTATAGAAGGTTCGGCCATACCCGAACATAATAATATTTGTAATTGTAGATTAAGGGCAACTTCGGCGGACTTTGCATATTTAAAAATCTTGCAATGGGTCTACCATTTGTTACAAATCTAGTTTGTCCACCAAACAATCACTTTCTCAACAACACATAGCAAGTCTTCAAAATTGAAACAAAAGGAGCATACCTTAGGTATAGTAACTCTGTAGGCAATTACCAAAACAATTCAAAATTTCATTTCAAAGGTATAATAGATCCAGAAACCCTATGGTATTACTTCTAATTACAGTTACGAATTATAATAACATAATCACCTTCCTACTTACAGTTTACGAATTGCAATTCGTGTTCCGAGCCATAAACTAAGAATATCAAAATATAAGCCGCAATTGGTAGTAATAAAAAAGAAAAATTTACCACTTAGCCACTCAAAATGTTACATATATAATGTTGCACTTCTATTTGCAGACTGTCCTGATTCCCCTCGTCAGTATTTTCTCTTGTCATGGCAACACAAGTGTGCCATTTGCTTATACGAAACTCAATCTTATGAGTTGTGTGCAAATATTGTAATGCAATTAACCGATCCACGTACATATAGCCGAACAAAATCGCCAAACTTAAATAAGCGCAATGGGATAGCCGCTTCCCTTACCTCATGATTACACCGAAAGCAAGAGTAGTGGTCCGGACGATGAATGAGTATTCCCAAGTGGAAATATACCAGCGAAGCTTAATCCGAAAGGCGTTGTTCGAGTGAGAAAATAAGCGACGGGCCGTGACAAGTAATTTCAGCGACGCGCAAGAAGCACAAGAAGCATAAGAAAGGAATTTTTAAAACAACTACGTCTAATTCGACGAATGAAAATTTTCGGATTCCTAGTAGAGCTCGTAAATACAAAAGTAGACCATAAATTTAGAGTCTGGCCGTACTTGATAACACTATAAGAGTGCAGTAAGCTACGACACAGTGAGTATATCCCAAAAACCGCTTAACATGCTCCTGTACATGCGGCATCTCCGAATCATTGGTATCCACATTGGTATCCACATAGAAGGAAACTAGTTTAACCTCTATACCCGGATTATCCCCAGTCGTCAGGCATATCATTAATGATGAAATTTGAACGATTAGATATACCGTAAAGTACTTTGATACTGAATTCGTCTCTCACAATTTTCAATTCTTGAAAGTGTGCATTTCTATGCTTTAAGTCGAGTGCCTGACCAAACCTCAGCAATTGCATAAAATTAATCAAGTATGCCAACATGCAATTAAACACTTTAAAAATTTATTCAATTCTATATTGAAAAAGATGATTCGATTAAAGCTAATATTGATGTTGATGAGCAGAAAACTTGGCTTGATTGTCATTTTCATTTCGGCCGCTTGCATTATAAACTCGATACGCCAGATTAAAAGTTACAATCAGAACTGCGTAAAATTAACAGAAGTGTCGAAATCTTTGCAAGCAGACATCGGCTTTGGCCCGAAACTGTCAATCTTTTGCCAATAAAAATGTCAACTCTGCCTCCAGCAAAATTAGTTATACTGCATTATTGTAAATTAGATATATTGTTATATAGACAGTTGCTTTGACTGAAGAAACACAATTTATACTATTATGTGTTTTCAGTATACATGTTAAGGTCAAATTTATTTCTCAGTTAAAGCTCGTAGTTTTTAGTTTCGTAATTGTTCTATTTCACACAACTTATCCTGGAGTTAGGTTGGCAAGACCTAAGAAAATTTTTTCTACAAAATATATCGTCTAATTTTTATTTAATATGCAATAATAACAGCTTAATATGTTATAACTTATGCATCAAATTTGACTCTCTATGTAGTGCCCAAACGAACCCTTAATATTACGCTTCTAGAATTATTTTCAAATAGTTTCTAATAATCCTATATTTTCACTTTTTGTTGTTTCATATTCTTTCATTTTTTCATATTTTACTGCCCCAACTTTTCCTTGGCTAGAAGTATTGCATTTGGAACGATTAACCCTTTGAATATTCTACAATCAACTTCAGAACAGAATATCAATTCAATATTTTACTTTATTAATACTACTAAGCTTATTATCTAATATCCTTTTTTTTTAAATTAGAGCCGATAGCCTGTGTTGCTAGTGCTCAATGTCTTCTTTTTTTAGTCTAAGAATTCAATTCATTAGTCTAAAATTAAAATAATAATAATAATAATAATAATAACAAATAATCATTTGGTTTTATTATTTTCACCAACATTTTGAAATATCTGAGATTAAGTAGTTTTTCCACGTCCATCAATACTTTATTTTTCCTTATACGTAATCGAGTACCCTCAACCCAAAATGCATATTCTGTGGTAGTAACTTACAACCTAGCATAATAGTAATTTTTTACCTTAAATGCAAATTACGTTAGCAGTTACGTTTCCAGAAAACAATGCAATGAGAAAATTTTAAAGTAAATTTGTGGATTCGAAGACATAGCGTTTTATTTTCAACGTAACAAACAACATAATAAAGTAGCTTCCACAATTTTAATAAAAAAATCTCTCAAAACGTAAATGAATTTTTTCAAGGCAACAAACAAAATGTTGAGAATATCGTACTAAATTATAGTAAGTTCATCCCCTAACTGAAGCCTCTTTAATGAATTCAAATTATTTATTTTGATAATATTTCAGATTATCTCATCTTTAGATAGCAGTTCGCGCATTCTTCAAGCTTGCTGAAAAATAGCCATTTATTGTTGTGAGCACTTAGCTGATAACGGCAACTCTCTTCACAATTCTTAACACATGTTTGTTATAAACTGTCATAAGGGAAAAATGTGAGAATAAGCGCATAAAAATTGGTAAAGTACGAGAGTAAGCGCATAAAAATTGGTAAAGTACGGGAATAAGCGTATACAATTCTCAATAATTCGAAAAATGTGAGAATAAGCGTCTAAATTTGTTTACATTTGTTCAAGTATTTGTATAAAAATTGGTAAAGTACGAGAATAAGCGTATACAATTCTCAATAATTCGAAAAATGAATTTGTTCCAGCTAACTTGTGAACGTGTGGAGAACGTTGTTAACGATTTGCTAGGTATAAGAATTGGATTTAAGCTTAAATTTAGACTTTATTTAAAAAGTAAAAAGAGTGGTGACAGTAGCTATACGTGTGTGTGTCTCTTTTTTCAAAAAGAAAAATAAACTTAAAAAGATTGGCAAACAAAAAATGCAATTTTTATTTTAGTGTTGTTTACAGAGTCTTAAGCAATTTCACTTTCGTAACTTGTTTTTAATATTTTTTTATCAGAAATTTTGGACTCAAGCATGTTGTAATTGAAAAAGTGTAAACCTACAAAGAAAGAAAAAGCGATTTATTGTTAGACCATGATTTTGTTGAAAAGAAGATTTTTGTTTTGTACAATAAGTAATGAGAACGATTTGAAAACGATTTGTTAAGTTTATTGGAATTAGCAGTAAAAGAAATGTAGTTATTACCAAAAGAAAAAAATTAAAAAAAATTAGCAAAAGAACGTATGCAGCTGCCCCCTCGAAAATCGGTAACGAATCAGCTAAGACTCTAAGGAATTTGTAATCTTAAAGCTTTTGGGCTCAGTAAATTCCCTTTCAATGTATGTAAACAGTAAAAAAATATAATTTCACCGCGTACTTTCTAATGTGTCTTCGCCAACTTTTGCATATATAAACGGAGTGTTGTGCCAAATCATGCTACATGTATTTTATATTTGCTAGTGAAATTACATCCACTCATTGAATTTTCTGTTATACCCTTCGCCGACGATGGTGCAATAGATTGTTTTCGATATCAAAATATACGAAAAGATATTCGAACATATGCATTCATAATAACTGGTAATGAAGGTAAGTTTCTATACTAGCTGAGATAAATCTTCGTTCAAACTTTTAGTTTAGCCAAACAGTTCATAGCATACTGAAATATGTTCCCTCTGTTTTAAATACATGTCCGCAGATTCGACTCTATACGGGCAGGAAACTGTTTACAATACTGGTATGAAGTATACAAAAGTTACAAGAGACATCTATTTCGAATATGCATACGATCAATCTATTATTATTATTATTATTATTATTAATTTCGCCAGAGAAATAAATTCTAAGACTAAACTCTTAAAAGCGCTACCATCTAAGACTATCGGTTCTTATTAAAAACTCTACCGCATTTGGGATTCGAACCCACGACCATTGACTTGCGAGACTCTTGCCTACTCGGCCACTCAGGCGGATTACGATCAATCTAACAATTAACGATTTCTCCCTATTGTCTCGGGATTGTGCGAATCCGAGATTCGTTTCAAGACGAATTTAGCATCCTCATAATTTTAGTGCTGCTGCTTAATGCTTAACGCTTGCGTAGGTTACGGAACTTACCGAACTTAGTAGGCGTAATATAACGAATAGTTTTAACGATTGCTATATCGTTTATATATGTATGTACTATGATGAAGCTATGTTAACATCAATTTTTAAGTATAAGTTTATTTATCAACTTTTCCTGAGAAAATAGGGCAGATAGGCAATTATTGTACCTCATTGAAAATTCTTTTGTTTGTATTGTCAAAAAACCTTTCCTTTATTTAAAATGGTTTATTTTCTGTTTTCAGTGATATCAGGATATTGCACTAAATCAATAAATATTTGATTCTAAGCTTGTAAGGGTTATTCACGAACCGTTTAAATGAAATATCAAAAAATGGAGCCACATGGTGAGATAGGAAAAACAAGCACAGCTACTCTGCCTTCATCTAATACACCGCCTGCTTCCGTCGAATCTGGTAAAAGTACAAAAAAACAACTTGCCGTATATAGCACTGGAGAGCAAATAAAACAAATGCTTTCAGGAGGTTTAGCAGCGGCGATAACACGTTCCACTTGTCAGCCATTTGATGTTTTAAAAATACGTTTTCAACTGCAAGTGGAGCCGTTGGGCACAACCGCTGCTTTAGCGAACAATTCCAAATATATTTCTATAGCACAAGCGGTACGCACAATATTTCGCGAAGAGGGTGTCTTAGCCTTTTGGAAAGGACATAATCCCGCTCAAATTCTAAGCATTCTATATGGCATATGTCAGTTTTGGACCTATGAACAGTTAAACTTGTTTGCCAAACAAACTGCTTTTCTGGAAAATAAAGTTAATTTGTCGAACTTCGTAAGTGGAGCAATCGCGGGTAGTGCGGCCGTCATTGTAACCACTCCCCTAGATGTAATACGTACTCGTCTTATAGCCCAGGATATAAGTAAAGGTTATCGCAATGCTACACGAGCAGTAGTCGCTATAATGCATCAGGAGGGGATTACAGGCATGTACCGGGGCTTATCATCAGCTTTAATACAAATTACTCCTCTAATGGGTTCAAACTTTATGTTTTATCGCCTATTTTCTCAGTCGGCTTGTCAAACATTCCATGTGGAAGAGCGTAGGTAAGTTACGATCTCAAAAAATTAAAAAGTAAAGAGTTAAGTATCACTTACTGTCCTTAATTATTTTAACCTTGCAGTCAGTTACCCACGTGGACATTACTTATAATGGGGGCTTCTTCGGGGATGCTTTCAAAAACTATAGTTTATCCATTTGATTTGATTAAAAAACGCCTGCAAATACAAGGCTTCGAATCAAATCGTCAAACATTCGGTCAGAATATACGTTGCACAGGAGTGTTTAATTGCCTTAGCGAAACGATTAAAATGGAGGGTTTTAGAGGTCTGTACAAAGGCGTGGCTCCAACCATATTAAAGTCAGGTTTAACTACTGCTTTGTACTTCAGTATATACGATAAACTAAAGCAATTGACTTGGCGCTCTTAGCAAAAACAAAAGCAGAAGTAAAAAAAAACTGTAAAATTTTTATATATTGTATTTGTTTGTGTACATAATCAGAAGAACAAAAAAGATAATATGGTATTTAAATTATATTTAAGTTTAATTTGTTTTTGACAATTATTTAAATGATGTAAAATTTAAAAAACCGAAAATATGTTAATAAAACTTTTCTAAACATTGATACAAATGTGATTTACAGGGAAAAAATGTGAAAAATTTACTGTTCTTCTCGTGCCTTTCTGTTTTTAATTTTGTCATACGAGGGAGGGAACTACATGTTTTCCTCCACCGTACAGCATACCACTTGTATCAGAAGCTTTGATGTACCCGAATAACTAAAACGGGGGCATTTTAGTTCGCGTTGCACAAATGACATGTTCGAAAACATTGAATATATGTTCTCGAGTCTCGAAGGAGAACCACACAAAAGTAACTACGAGAGTCGCTTTCAAACACTCGTATATTTAGAAGATATTAAGTGTTTTGGCAATTTCCGCATGCATTACCGTGAACGAGGGCATTTCACACATGAGGGAAAGTGTTTAGCTCTGGCCATAGAAAAAAAAAATCTTTCCGAACGCCGTCCTTCGTTGCTAATTGGAGACATTGTTAAAGCCAAAAACCCCTGGGCCGACGGCGAAAATGCCAAACGGATGTATAAAGGTGTGATACACAAAGTGCTCAATCGCATTCTGCTTAAATTCGATGCCAACGTTCAGCAAAAATATAGCGGCGAAGATTATCGTTTAGAATTTTACTTTTCCCGTTATGGCTAGCGTAAACAGTACTACGCCGCCTCACGAGCGGTTAAAAATTTAGGCGAACAGTTCTTGTTTCCCTCCCGAGCACAGATGCCCAATTAGATATACAATTAAATGATGAGGAAAACCTCTTGTTAGACAGTTGTCAGTCTAAATGGCACAATTGCACACTGAACTCTATGCAGAGAAAAGCCGTAGCAAATATACCACGAGGAGATGCTTACAACATGCCATAAGTGATTTTCGGACCCCCCGGCACAGGAAAAACTGCAACGCTAGTGGAGACCATTTTGCAAATTTTTAAATTGATACTCAGTGCACGTCTGTTTGTAGGCACACCTTCAAATATATCGGCTGATTCTAAATGGGTGATCTTATACCTGTAGTGTCCCATAATGAATTAAAAAATAACTTATACCAGAGCATTTGATGCCGTATTGCGCAACAGGGGATAGATATTGGGATATGGGCGTAGATAACACCTATAAACATGATATGACTAATGATTGGTATTTGCGCTACCTTAGGAAATTTTTTGCCAGTGCACAGAAACTGAAATTATGGTTGTAGTTGCTCAAGTATCAAAAGAGCATGGCCAGGTAATCCTTGCTGGAGATCCCCATCAATTGCAAGCAGTCGTTATAAAGAGATATGCTCGTGAATGCGGTTTTTCGCTATCATTTTTGGAGAGAATTCTTTCGCATGCTTAAGAAATGATGACAGTTTTCCCCTTACATGTGGTTTCGACCCTCGCCTGGTTACAAAATTACTCTACAATTATCGGGCGGAACTGGTACCAATGATAACAGAAGAGAATCCTAGCGAAGTTAAAATGCTGAAGCAACTTGACGATATACTGCCGCAATCACGAAATCGAGCCAAAATACATGGCATATTCTTCTGCAGAATACTTAGTCAAAATATGCAGGAAAACGACCTTCTTATAATATACGGCAACCCCTACCTATTTCTTATTTCTTTTGGATTCTCCTTGGCGCACGATTATGAAGTACTGCGTCTATAATGATGTCTAATTCGGTTGTGATTTGCCGGCAATATTGTCTGACCCGTCAAAACTAGTCCAGGGGACAGTTAATAATCGAGATGATTAAGTTACTTTTGGCCTCAATAATCAGTCCTTAACATTAATTAATAAATAAAAATGGGACTATTTTTTCATTTCCTCATAAAAGTTAATATATCTTTTAAAACCTAAAACAATAAAAATTATTCCAATTTATTTTTTTTGAAATTTGGATTCGAATTTACTTGGATTTTCAAACTTTGACGGAAAACTGCTCAAAACGATTCATAGCTATGAACAACTGAGTAATTTCGTGTTCTTTTCTCCCTGCAAACCGTTATGTCGAGTTCTTGTTTGTATTTTTATAAATTTTTGGCAACAAAATTAAATAACAACAGAATATGGAAGAGAAAATACGTGCAATATTAATCAATTGGATTTACGTATGCCAACTTTGAATTGGCTTCCAAGATACTGCAGCTGGTCATTGCCGTTACTGATCAACATTTTCAAACTTTGCAATTTTTTCTTTTAAATCGATGGCAAGTCCATATAATGCTTATGATTGTATAAATTAGGCAATAAATAGAAGCAAGTGGGGAAACTTCACGAACATTGCATACTCATCACCTCGAAGTATTACTTAAAATGAGTTATATTTTGTCATTTATGCATCTCTGACAGACGTTTGCTCCAAATCTTAGATGAAAATGTGGAAAAATTCAGAAATATTTTGGAATTTCACCCGCCAAAAAAAGGCCTTTTAGGCTGCACCGAGATGATAGAGTGCCGCACTTTAATCTTGAACGGATATGACTAAAACCATTTAAAACTACATTTGCTTTAAGGGATATCTGATGCCTTGTTCTGTGTGAGTGTTACAAAAGGAATAATAATTTGATCATACTATTCTTCTTAGGTGGCTTTTATAAAAAAAGTTAGGCAATTCAATGCAAAAAATAAATTAACAATATAGTGTAAAAATACTTTACAGTGCCTCCTTCAAAAATTGTCTCAATAAAGTCAATTTTTTTTTTTCTTTTTCTTATTGGTTTTTGGAACCAAGAAAAATTCATCCAAATTGATTGTTGCAGAAGTGAAATGATGAACGCCACATATAAATGATAATGAGTAAATTGCAATATGTCTTCTTAAACGATAATCGCATTGAGCAAATCTCTTCCACTCAACAACTTCAGAGTATGAAAATTATTCGTACGCTAAATTTATTTGGCAATCCTTTCTGTGAACTGGCAGCAGTAAGAGGACAATTAAAGGTAAATTTTGCTCTGGCCATTGGAGGAGAACGTTCATTTAGAAGAAGTCCTTCGTTTCAGGAACATGAAAATATTTTATATGAATTATTCAGTTAAATGTTTTTTTGGCCTTTATATCTTGTTATTGATATTTGTGAAAATTATAGATTTATACACATGTACGTAAGTTGAAAAACCAACAAGCAAATATTGCTATTAAAAAAAATTTGGAGACTATATCAAGTGAATGAAGCTTCTCTCTACTTTATGATCAAGTAAATATATTTTACCGGTCTTCCTCTTGCTGCTCATATATTTTACAAGCTACCATCTTGCTGCTCATGAACATTTTGTACCGGTATTCCTCTCGTCATCTAATATTAATTTCAAAAAAAAGTTTTAGAATACTTTCATTTTGTTCATCGTGGATAAAAGTTATAAAGCAATCAGCACGATTTTTCAATAAATATTTGAACCCGCCTTAGCCTCCAGATAAAGAAAGAAAACTGAAAAAACTTTCAAGCTTCTCTAAATTACTTTAGTTTCTTTGCTATAAATGGAATTTTTATTAATGATTGAAAGGACTGAGATCGCTTATTAAGAGTTTTACCACCAGCTTTGGATTCGATTAGGATGATCTGATCACCAGAAAAAATTGTAAACAAAAAAAAAGTAAAGTGGAGAAAACTGTGAAAGAAGTATATCTATGTGGAACCATCATAGCGATCGAAATAAGCCGCTCTAATTTGTTCTTCTTGTCACACTACATTTGCTAAGTGACCTTCGGTAAAGATGAAAAGGCTAACCCGATTCGACAACTTCTTCGATATCCTTCGATTAAAAACCAATCACTTGTGTACCTGTGTGGACTCTACACATACATCGTCATTATTTGAACTAAGTTGAGCTTTCCCACGTTTCAATTAATCTTCTTATTTAATGTTATTTTTTTCACTTTTGATGGCATTTTATAGATTTTCCAATTGATTTCGGGATAACACAGCACAAAGTGCTTCCGTACTGAGAGATGATGAAGCACAAACGCGCAAATATACATGTCTTATCAAAGAACTTATTAATGTCAGTTAAAAATTTTTTTGTTTGTTCTTTATTTTATATATATAAAAACTCATATCTTAGCCATGTTTTCATACAAAATTGTCTTTAGAGTAAATTATTTTTCGATCTCAAATTTAAGTGCGCTTTAATAGAAAATCATGCATTGTTAACAGAGAAGTACGAATTGTTAACATACAATCCATACATTTTTAAAGTTTTACCAGAAAACTCTGAACAGATGAATAATTTTGTTCTTGTTCTTCTTCATTGCAAAGTTTTAACGCTTGACGTAGTTGCCATATGTTGAAGCTAACTCTAACTTATTTTATATTAGTTCTGTAAAATATTAGTCTACAATTAATGGAATTACGGTTGTGAATATAGTCGGTAAGGGCGAAAAACCAGCACACTCGAACTCGAGTGTTTACTTTACTTTTTATATTTTCTCGGTGGATTTCGCTTCGTCAGGCTCCATGTTCCATGGTCGTCTTGTGTTATTTAAATTTTATTTAAATTTCCTTGTCCCCAAGCAAGAGGGCAAAATCACTAAAATCTTTAAAATAGTGTCGCCCAATGATTCTAAAACAAGAAAATATTAAAAAGTTCACTAAAGAAGAAAAAAATTAAGAATTACTAAAGTGATGAAAAATTGGCAAACGTTGGGTGGTGAAAATTTGAACAAGCACTGCAGTAATTACAAACTTTTAAATAATACAAAATATATAAAGAAAATTGGAAAAAAATTGTATTAAATTAAAAATTTCTATAATATTTAACAAGTTATTGAAGAGAAGGTAGTTTTAAAAAAATTAAATCAAAAATTTTTGTTTAACAAAATTCGTGTAGTGTTTAATAAATTAAGTTATTAAAGCAATATTTGGAATTACATGTGAGTACATTCATACATTTTGGAAAATATTTTTAAATGGAGAC